CATGGGCTGGGCGCGCTGGCTGGCGCTGGGCGGCCTCCTGGCCCTGGCCGGGCAGTTGCAGGCCCGGCTGGTGCGCCAGCCGGACGCGGGCTTCGCCGAGTGCGACGCGTTCTTCCACGCGGGGACCCCGCCCGCCGGGCCGGCGTCCGAGCCGCGGCTGAAGATCTGCCAGCGCTTCCGGGGCGCCGCGCGCTTCGCCACCCTGTACAGTCCCGGCCACCGCTGCCCGGTGTTTTCCGCCTTCCGCGCTGCGCGCCCCGCGCCCGGCCAAGCCGAGCAGCGCGGGCTTCTGGAGCCGCAGGTGAGCGGGGCTGCGGCGCGCGGGGACCTACCGGGTGCGCGCTGTGCGTGCCCGACCCGGGGTTCCCACCCACCCCACCGCCCCCCCAGTGACAGCCCCGCTGCCTCTTCCAGAAGAGCCCGGGCATCTGGGCGGCTCCACTTCGGCCTCCGGGGCGGGAGGTCCCCTGGGGAGGTGGCCCTCCCTCCCCGTGGGCGCGGGCATCTGCAGTCTCCTGCGTTTCCAGGGTAGAAGAGGAGCGGGAGATGGTCCCTGGAGACCGCGCATATCCGCGGAAACGGGGCCTGCGCGCGCGCCCCTGCAGCAGCATTCACCCGGGACGGGTGGGCAGATTCATCCCCATTTTACAGGAAGCACACCGAGGCCCGGGAGGGTGCAGGGGCTTGGAGAAGGTCACGCAGCTAGTCAGATGGGGCATTGAGGCGGCGGAGTCCGCCCTTTCTGCTAGGGAAAAGCCTCCCTCTCTGCCTGGTCACTGTGTTGGAACAGGGAAGGCGTGGACTTGCAGAAGGGCAGCCAGTTTTTCCTGACCTATAGACTATCAGACCATTGGAAATCATGTCACCTTTCGTAGTGTTGGGTTTGTCTGGTGGCTGGGATCAAACACTCCAAGAAAGGCCCCTGGGGCCCTGCACCCAGCCCCCTCCTCTTCCATCTCTCACCAGCCTTCCACCTCCTGCCCGGCAGCCTTGAGTTCCTGATGGCCACAGCCGCGTGGCTCCCCTCCTTCCTGCCGTGGGTTTTCATCTCACGCTGGTATTTAGCTCCGAGAGCCTGGCCAGGTTTCGGGCAGTTTGTATCAATCGAACCTTATCCACACCCTTCCACCTAGCAACCTGTTGGTGTCGGAATTAGTGTGGAAAGACTCTAAACTGTGCACAGGGAAGACACATCTTAGAACTGTAAAATTACTTTCCCCCAGTGCAGCCCTAGAGCCCGGAGTTCTCTGTGTCCCCAGCTTCTCAAGATGCATTGTGATGGTGGGTAGGAAGACTTGCTGACCTGAGCCTTTCTCACTAAGGATCTCAGCACCTGGAGACAAAGCAGTTGTACACAGGATGAAATCATGGGGATGCTTGCTGAGTAAATGACAGTTAAATTCAGAATATTTTTAGTGATCACCTGTTGTCAGAACTTTAGACAGCAGGGTACCCAAGAGCAGCTCTAGAACATGGGCTCCTGGCCGGAGGTGGAGTTTGCAGTGTCTGATAAAACCTTCCATGTGTGTTCAAATCCTACTTCCTCTAGGGACTAGCTGTAGCCTTTAGGAGGCTGCATTGGTGATAATAACATAGGGTAGTTGTGGGGATTAAATGAGTTACTATATATAAAGTTCTCCAGAGGTGCAGGGCACATAAGTACTAGCTGCTGTCGTGACATACACAAAACACATAATTTAACAGAGGTAAACAGAACACTGTTAGATTTTATCTGTTGCTAAGGTGACTGGGGGGGCAGATTAGGATCTGGGTGGCATTTGTGTTCAGTCTGGAAGGATAAGGTAGAAAATAGGAGGGAGATGAGGAGGAGGAGGAGGAGGAGGGAAAAAGAATGCTCTAAGTGAATAGAGTCCCTGCCTAGAATCCACAAGTGACGGGCTGGGGGTGTGGGTCAGGGGTAGGGTG